ATCATGGTGTAGCTTCCCTGTCATTTCTAGGAAACATAATCTCATAGCACACTTTCAAAGCTTTTATAAACTTTCTGTCCTCTTTTCAGTGATATTCCCTGAGTCTTAGGTGCAGGAGTTGTGTTATAAATTTATCCATTGGGGCTGGGCACCCCACAATCTCCTATTCTCTGTATTTGGGCCATCTGCGGTTTTCCGGGATGGTCTCTGTCTGCTACAGGAACCATAACAATAACCAGCTAACTCTGTAAGATTCTCCTAAAGGTATAGTAGTGGCACTCATTTCTTGGTGGTAACAAACAGCTCTCTAATTGGTCTTAAGGCCCACTCAAAAGAAGTACCAGTATCATGCCTGGTACTGAGAATTTAGCCAACTATCTTGGGACCAATGAGGTCACTGACTAGGAGAACATACTCAAGCTGCTTTACTAGACCAGCACGATTCCTAACTGCATTCTAGATACATATCCTTATACTCACAGCTAGGTGCAGCTCTCACCTCATCAAAAGAAGACAAGAGGAGCTACTCCTAAAAGACCCTTAAAGATGATGCTCAGACCATCAGAAAATGCTTAGATACGATAAACTTTCTGCAAAGTGCCAGGTACAAAACCAATTTAAAAAATCAATAGGCTCTTTCGAGAAAACAAGTCTCACTGACAACAACTTAAAACAAAAACCAAAACCTAATCATAAGTTCTACCAGGAAGTGAAAGAACACTATGAGGGAAACTTAAAAACATTGAAGAAATGGATGAAGCCACTAGACAATGCAAAGACTTCTCATGCTCATGGGTCAGCAGAGCTAATATAGAAAGATGGCTATTTATACAAAGTAATACAGTGCCAGTGCAGTCCCAACAACACTTCCAATGATGTCCTTAAAAAACAAGCAAAACCCTAACATTCTAACACTGGATGGGAACACAAACAAAGCAATCCTGAGAAGAGGACTGACTGCTTTGGCATCAAAATAACTCATTGTAATTGATACTACAGAGCCATGTAGCTCATTGTAATTGAT